GCTGGCCTGAAAAAGGTGCCAGCTAAGTACTGAGGGACAGAGGGGCTGAAACCCAGGAGTCCCAGCTCCCTTATGGCTTCATGCAGGCTGACAGTAATCCTTGCTGCTTCTGGGGCTGCAGCATGGCAGTAATTTCAGCCAAAGGCAGTGGGGAGCAGAGACATTAGCGCCCTTCCTGGGGAAACTTATGGTCTGCCCAACTCCACCCAGATCCGGGGCCTTTGTCAAACATGCTCAGAGTTGACACCTCCAGTCTTCTGGGACAGTGCTGTTGGGTTTTGTAGACAGGGATGCTTGGGCCGACAGAGTTCGGGGTCCTGAATAAGATCACACAGCAAACCAGTGAACTCTGCTCTCCCAACACCCAGACTTTCCCCAGGCTACCCTGTCCTGGAAGTCAGTTGGGGGCAATGGACAGCAGGCCTTTCCCTCCTCAGGGTCACAGGTAAAGAGCGCCTCAGCCTCACAGAGACTGGAGATGGCAGAGGTTTTAGAACAGCCTAGGACCTACCTGTGCCCACTGTGCAGGTGGGCAAACCGAGGCCCCAGTACCCCTCTGTACTTTACCAAACCTATCCCTCTCCACCCCAGAATGACTTGCAGTTCTCATCACTCACTGCAATGTGGGGAAGTGATTTCCTGACCCTGCAGCCTTCGCCACTATGGGGGGTTCTGAGGCCAGGTGGTCAGGCGGGTAGTGCACGGAGCCCAGCCAGGGGGCATCAGGGCAAGAGCGCTGCAGGAAAAAGCAGGTACAAAGGAAGGAGTTCCTGGGCAGGAACTCTGGGCAACTGGAGATCTGCCTCCCAGGTTTCAGAGTCCTACGGCTCCCAGACAGAGAGTGTGACCCCCACCATGGTCCCTGCCTCAGCCTGAACAATGTCCCATGATGAAGTCAGGTCAGGCCCACAAAGCTGCCAATAGCTCAAGTAGCTGTGGCTGGGCTTTGCAGCCCGAGAAGCACTTTTAATCTTCACGACCAGCATGAGGTGGATGACTCCCATTTCACAGGTTATGCTCCAGAGGCTCCCAAGGAGGGAGAGACACTGAACAGCAGAGTGAGGCTTCCAGTCAACTTGTGTCTGACTCTAAGGCCTGGGCCCTGCCCCCAGGAAGCTTCCTGTGCCTGGTCGAAAGTGCCCAGAAGTGGAAGTCACAGCATCTGCACTTTGTCACGCCGTGGTGTGGCTCCCTGCCCATCCCCCAACTTTCCTCCTTGCCCGCTTCCAGGCACGTCACATGCCACGGGGGCTGGAATCACTACCAGTACACGGCCCCATCACCAGCCAGGGTGCGGAGGAGGGGGTGTGAGCACTTTGGGGAGAGGACCCCTGGCCTCAGCAGACCCAACACAGCAGGGAGAAGAGCCCAGAGAGACGTCCCAAGAGGGGGAGGCAAACCAAAACCTAGCTCTGCCTGCTGACCTGTCAAACTCTTCTGTCTTGTCTGTAAAACAGCCTCATTATAACAGTCAAAAATTTGTTCAATCTTCTTTGAACACTTTTTATATGCCAGGTAGTATCCTGGGGCAATTCCCCTCCCCCTTCCAGGGACATTAGCAATAGCTGATTACCACAATTGAGGAGGGCGCACAGAGACCAGGGATGAGGACAAACGCCTGCAATGGGCAGAACAGGCCCACAACAAAGAATTACGTGACCCAAAAGTGAACAGTGTAGAGCCTGAAAGCCTGACTCAAGGCTTATGGCCTGCAGCAACAACCAAGTGCCTGTCCTCCCTGTGCTGACATTCTAATGGGACGACACAATGAAAGTGAAAGAAATACTCCAGTTCAGGAGGGTTAAACAGGAACACAAAGCAGGCCAGCGGAGCAAGATGGTCCGTTAGAACAGAAGCAAAAGAGGGAATGAGATTAGGAGGTGAGCAGAGGCACATTCAAGGCAAAAGGCAAAGCAAGTGCAAAGGCCCTGAGGTAGGTGTGTGTGTGCAACATGTGGAAGGCAAAAGCAGCCAGCTTTTCCCAGCTGGGCATAAAAGCAAGGATTGAGTTGAGTAGTAGAATAGTGCTGAATGAACAGATCTAACACACACCACAGCCAGCAGCAAAAGTCTTCCCTTTTCCCCCAACAACCATCTTGGCTTTTCCTCTAGGAAGCACTGGATGGGAAGAGCCATGAGATATCGTTCTGTCCTAAAGACAGACAGTGCTCTAGGAAGCCATTGGGCCAGGCCCCAGGATGATAGTCAGGGCCCCTCTCCACAAGAGAATGCTAGGCAAGTTCTTTCTTCACTCTAATGAATGAGAAAACTGAGGCTTCCGAGGGAAGTTGGGGCAGAGCCCAGTCTCTAAGGTCTATGACTTCCTGGAGAGCTGGAGCCAGATCTCCAGAGATAGGCACTGGGGGAAAGAATGAATGAATGGCACTGTAGCAGGGTGCCTGGCCGTGTGCCACCTGCCCTCTGAAGGGGTACCTGACCTCTAGGCCACATCCTCAGTTAGCACACAGATACCTCACAGGGATGTCAGGTAGGGGACAAAAGGACAAGGTGGGGTGGAAGGAGGGAAGAACCCCCCAAGGTGAGCAAGCACCCCAGCTCACCCACTCTGATGGCCAACCTGGGAGCCCCCACCCTCTGCCCTAACCTGATGAGGCAAACAGCAGACCCACAGCCCCAAGACTGGCAGGGGCAGGTAGCCAGACCCAGAAGGCAGAGACCCCTCCTACCCCAGATGGCAGGATCCATCAGAGGACACCAAGCATTTGCCTATCCTGCCTGCTTCACTGGTGTTTAGTTGTCACATGAATGAATGGTGTGGTCACACAGCGGGCATAGGGGCCAAAAGTCCCAAAGAGAAAGAGCCCACTGCACCTGTGGCTGCTCAGGTCCCTCTGGGGTTCTCTCTCCAGTCACACCCAACCTTACTGAGTCCCCACTGTGTGGAAGGACCAGTGGGGGAGCAGAAGTGGGGACACAGGCATGGGGAAGTTAGGCAGACCTGTGTTCAAATCGCACCTCTCACCCAGCTCTGTGACCCTAGAAAATGTCATGCCCTTTCTGGAGTCTGTTTCCACATCTCAAGAGGAACAGCACCGCCTGCCTTTTAGGAGCGGCTGGAAGGGAGGTTTATTTCTCTAGCGCAGTGTTTGACCCACAGGTGTCCAAAACATGGGAACTAATGAGCTGCTAACTATGACAAAGAGGAGCCCACAGTCCTGGCCCTCAAGAGCCTTTCAGTTCATTGAGGTGGCTAAGACACAACTAAATTCAAAGCAGAATGTGGTCTGTCCTCAGAAGGAACAAAAGACATGAGAGATCAAAGAGCAGATAAGTCCAAGTGCAAGAATTTGGGCAGGCTTTCCTGGAGAGGAAAAGGCCTGGAAGGCAGGGGTGGGGAGTTGGGGGGGGGTGGAGGATGGACCACAGAGAGGACACACTGTGGGCCAAGGCAGAGCACACGATGGTCACCTAGTCATCAGTTTCAGAGTGTCGGGTACACAATACAGGGAGGAACAAGTATTTCCCTCTGGCCTGGGATACATGGGGGAGTTTCTGCCTTGGGAACTATGGATGCTTCCCAGACAGGAAGAGGTGTCCCAGGCTTAAGAAGGGTCTGTGGGAGCCAAGACTGGGTGAGGGACCAGCTAAGAGCCTGTGGCAATAAACCTAGGAAGCAGAAGTCAGCTGAGGAGGCTGATCAGGAGAAATAAGTGGGAGGGAAATCCATGCAGCACCTCCAGGACTCAGGCCTGGAGTCCTGCAGAGCCCTCCTCTCCTACTGGGGCTTGCGTGTGCCCAGGCTCACCCAGGCAGGCCCAAGCTCAGGGCCCAAAGGCCCCCTCCCCATCCAAGGCCAGTACCTGTGGCATGACCCACAGTCTGGCTGGCGACCACAGTCATCCACATTCACACTCAGCCCTCATAGCCGGGACTGTCCCAACCCAAAAGCTATTCTGGACCTCCCCTGGGGCAGCCCCCCAGAGCTCTCGCCTGGCCCACTGTGGGTGAGTCAACTCTAGTCTGACAGCTCCTTTCTTCTGCCCTCAAGAACTGGACTCTTTGGTATTGGACCACTGAGTCACCTTATTACACCACAGAAGTCAATGCCACCTCCCGCCTTCCTCCCCTCCAGATGGGTCAGCACACTCGGCGTCCATCAGACAGGGCTGGGGAGGGAAGAAGCAGTCAGCCTCTTCTTCAGTAGTGAGGAAATGGAGGGAGACAAGTTTTGGAGAGTGCTCCCTCAATACCTTCTATGAAACACAAGTTCTCTGGGCCTGTTTCCATCTCTGTAAAATGGGGTAGTCTTATCTGACCGACCATGAGGACAAAGGAAGGGTCCCCGATCCTTTGTATTGTGCTCAGTGATGTGAAGATTGAATACTGTGGTCTCAGCTCTCTGTTTTCCTGGGGCCTCTTGGAGAGCACGTCTGTATGCCTTGCTTGGTGACCTCCCTGATCTCCACTGTCCCCAGAGCCCTCACAGATCAGACTCTGAAATGGCCACTGAACATCAGGAGCGCCTTGGGAAGGTAGAGAGGGCTCACAGTTCAATTGTGCCCCTTACTGGGGCTTACTACACATCTGGCCCGCGCTTTCAGACACGCAGCCCAAGTGTTTCTAAGAAAGAGGAAAACCATGATCAGAGGAGGAGGAGGAGGAAGTCTTCTGAAGAGCGTGCCCGGCGTGGGCAGTGGGGGCAGCGCCCCCAGTACAGTCCGTCCCCGCGTGCGGGGGAGCGAAGGGCTGTCAGCGATCGCAAGGACAACTGGAGGGTCCTGGGTCTAGTGGACTCTGCCCAGAGTGACTGGTCAGCCCAGAAAGCCCCAGCCACACTCGCGAAGGAATGCGAGGCTGCGCACGTGTGCCAGGCTTGGGGTCCCTAGTGGGTCCCCAGAGGTAAACGACGCGTGTCTGATGGGGATGGGGTGTCGACTCTGTCCTCCCAGCCCCTGCGTACGTGGCTGCGCCGGGGGACCGGCAAGAAGCCAGGATGGAAGTGATGGGCGACTGTCCCCTGTAGAGCGCGAGTCACCCACCTGGGTGGGCACGGCGTGCACCGCGGCCCAGAGTTGCAGTCCCACGGTCAGCGCGGCCCAGACGGCGGCGGGCGCCATGGGTGCCGAGCCCGCACCCTCGAGGCTCCGCTGCCTCCGCTGCCTCCGCTGCCTCGGCTGCGCTGCTGCGCCGGCGACTGAAAGCGAAAGCCCGAAAGCCCCAGGCAGTAGCGAGAGCAGGGCACGCGGGGGGCGGGGCGGGGCGGACTGGGCGGGGCCAGCGCCCCACTGTGGACACGCCCCCCACGCGCATCCACTCCCTGCTGGCGCTGCTGGACACTCCTCCCGCGCAGTGCTGGGCCCTTACCTCCCCCATCTCTCCCAGTGACTCAACCTCCAATCGCTCCCTCCTCGTCCAGTCACCCTTCCTAGTGGACCAAGAGACACTCCCTGGGCACAGGAGCCCCCCACCTGCCCTATTGTCACCTGCTTCCCACTACCATGGGAATAGGACGCTAACTCGTAAAGGAATTCCCCAAACCTATCACCCACTCTGGGGACCAAACGGTTTCAGGTCACTCTGTCATTTAGATCTAGAGTCAGACCACCTGGGTGTGAATCTCTGCCCTGACTTCATAGGGTTATTCTGAAGATATGTAATATACATAACAGAGTGTACATCATAGATTTGCTTACAAAGTCACTATCTCTGAAATGTAAGGAACGTTGATTTAATATTAGTTGTTTTACTGCTTTTTACTGGGTTGTTTATCCTTAAATATTCATGGAGTAAGCCGGCCCTGTCCTGTCCTCCTTCCTGAGTCCCCTCAGCTGGCAGGTAAACTGAGGTTGTGAGACAAAAGCATTCGGGAGTTAGGGGGGCCCAGCGAGTCTGGCACAGGTCAAAGCCAGGAGGGCAGGCTTCCTCAGACTGACCTCATCATTGAACACCCACTCTAGCTGCCATCTGTCCCCTCTTACTCCAAGTGCCAGCCCCAGTTCCAGGGCTCACCGTGGTTGATCAGAATGTATTCCTCCAGCCCTGCACATGGGGCATTTTGGAGGGTGGGACAGGCAGGGTGGCAGGCAGCTATTCTGTTCTTCCTCTCCCCACCCTGTTGCCTCATTGCAGGTGCTAAAAGAGGTACAGCCACCAACCCCCACAACGGACCCACAAGACAGTACTTCTAGGTGTTGAGTGAGAAACTGAGAAGTGACCCTTGGGCGATGGAAAATCCCACCTCCTGGTCAGGAGCCTGGGAAATCACCTGGTTCCCACACGTTTCTGTGACATGGGCTGTGTGTATGGGAGGGGGATGCAGTTAGCATGGCCCACAGCCTTAAGCCTGTAGGGAAGAGTAGCCACCAGCACCATGCATGGAAACTTCTGGACTTTACAGCTTCTATAGGAGCAGTTTGGAGGACTCTCTGATCCATAACAGACAGCTGAGAGCCAGGAGTGGGGTGTTACCTGGAGGAGGCAGAAGACAATAGTTCTCCTTGGATGTCACCCTAACACACACTTCCAACCCAATGGGTCCAACTGACCCACCTCTCCCCGACCCAGCCAGTGAATTTCGAATGTGGGAGCGTCTATCATGTGATCCTGTCTTCCTCTGGGTTCTGTTGCTAATAATCCAATACCACACACTGGGTAAGTTATAAAGAGAAGGGGATGCTTTGGGTTCATGGTTCTGGTCCAAGGTTGAGGGATCACATCTCCCCTGGGGACAGTTTGGAGAATTCCCTGATCTAGTAGAGAGCTGAAGGCCAGGAGTGAGGGCCAAGGTGATGTCCTCTTTGCTTGCAGAGTCGGGAAGAAGTAAGAGCATCATTTGGCAAGAGGCAAGGAGTGAGGGAGTATGCGTGTGTGTGTGTGTGTGTCTCATCTCCCTCCCTCTTCTTATAAAACCACCAGTAGCAGTGTTGGGGCCCCACCCTGATGACTTTATCTCATCCCAGTCACTTCCCAAAGACCCCACTTCTCAACACCATAGTCAGATTGCTTCCACCCTCGTAATACCTCACCCTGGGGATTAAATTCCACCATGAGTTTCAGAGGGAACAAGCCATGGTAGTTCCTGCCCTAGGAGCCATCAGTGCCCCAATCTCACACGTGAGCTTCTTCCCTTCCCTAGTTGGGTCACCCATGCTTGAGGACACAGTAACTTCTCAATTAACTCCACCAGGTGTAATGCTTGTCCCCTCCAGGGTGAGGCTGAGGGGCGAAGGTTTAGGGAGAAAGGGGCACAGTGTTCCGTGGTAACCAAAGTCATTACCACTTGGCACTGGGGCCTTTGGGAGGCAGTTTCTGGCTCATTCTCTCTGAGAACCCTCGCGTGGGTGTCTTGGAGACCTTTGTGCTAATTCTTCTGGCCACAGCTCCGCAGAGCCAGGAACACCTCAACTCGGCTGGCGACGTTCCCCACCTCTCCTTTTGCTCCTACATAAGTACTGCTCTTCCAAGCTTCTGCTGATGTTACCACCCCCAAGAGGAAGCACTTTTGGGTAGAGATGGCCCAAGGCTGGCTTCCTCCCTGGGGTGCATGGTTCCCTAGTCTTTACTCCACATCTGCAGCAGCCCAGCTCACACCCTGTGTACTCGCTCCAGCAATGCTACTGCATACTTCTAGACTTAGGCTCCTTTATTGAACACCTACTGTGTACCTGCCCTGGGGTGCTGGAGACTTAGACAGACAAGAATCTTCCATCAGTGTTCTGTTCCCAAACTCCTGAGATATGGAGCCCCCAGACTGGTCCCTTGTAGCCATCCTGCTTGGCTCAAGATAAAGTGAAGCATCCTCTCCCCTTCCTTCCCTGAAAAGGTAGCACAATGGCTGGCAACCTCTTTCCCAAATCCTTTCTCTTAGCTTCTTTCACCCCAGGAGGATGAGCTATGAGACATTCTTCTGAACCCATTTGTCTCTTTCCATGACCTGTACAGGTGGCCCAGGACTTTCCCCACAGGATGGGGGATCAACCTTGACACCCACCATAGTGTACCTGCCACTGGTGAATCTAGTAAAACTCACTGACAGCCAAGAGCAGTCCCCATAGCACCTGTTGAAGTCTGGATCACCCAGTCCCTTCCTGTCCCCAGCCCTGTCCTTGACCATCTCCCAACTGAGCCCCTGGGGCCCAGGCATTGTCCCCACAATCTGTTGCAGTCAGGGCCAGCCCTCAAAAGCTTACAACACTCATTCCACTCCCTGTCAACCAGGGGGTGACTTTGTCCTCCATTTTCATCCTAGGGACATTTGGCAATGCCTGGAGACACAATTGCAAGGGGCAGGGAGAGGTGGCTGGCATCCAGTGGGTAGAGGCCAGAGGTGCTACTGAACATCCTACAGTGCACAGGGCAGCCCCTGACAGATCTCTCTAGCCCCAGATGTCTGCCACGGTTGAGAAACTTCGTCCTAACCTGTGGCTCACATAGCCTTCAGAATTGAGTTCAGCCTCCTGTGAAGACCATGGAGGCCTCATGTCCTGGCTCAGGCTGCCTGCCAGGCAGATGGGCACCATGACCCCCAGTTCCAAGCTCTGACCCCCTGGACATCCAGGGTCACCCCCTCCATATTTTTGTCCAGGCTGTTCCTCTGACTGGACAACATATCTTACCCTCCCTGTTTTCTTGCTGATCACCTGCTTGTCTTTGCAGTCACAGCCCCTCTCTCTCTCCTCTTGAAACTGCCCTTGACTTCAACCCACCCAGCTTGGCAGGCTAACATAATTTACCCAGTGTAACTCACTGGGGTAATCGGTCTTTTGCCTGTCCCTCCCTCACCTACTAGTTGTGATACTGGCAGTTATTGAAGTCTACTCTGGTCACCGACATATGTTGGTGTTATACATTGTCCTGCACCAGGAGGTCCAGCTCTCCAGAACCCTGACACGGCTAGGAAGGGGTATGACAGATTCAAACACATTTGACAGTCTTTGTAGCAAAGCAACTCAGCTCAGCATGATAGCTGCTCACACTATTACCATATAGTCCTTGGTAGCAAAGGGACAGTCATGGGTCCTATTTCCTTGAGGTCCAGGGGATACACAAAAGGAGAGGTTCAATAGAGTGGGAGTGAATAAGAACTTCTGCTAAGTGTACGCAGAAGGCAAAGAAGGGCTAAACATGGGACTGAGTGAGTGAGTGAGTGAGTGAATGCGTACCTGTCAGGGTCAAGCTTAGGAATCCAGTCAGCCCAATCACTCCTAGGCCCTACTCACCCCACCATGCATCTCTTAGACCGCTACAGTGCAGAAAAAGTGCCATTTGTTCCTTATAATAGGTAACCTAGAGATCACCAGCAGAGACAGGATAGTAGTCTTCTGGTCACCAACCCGGGCACTGCATGCACAGAATATGAACCTTGACCTGGGACTTCAGAGCCTTTCCTTACCCTCCAGGGAAGCCCATGGCCCTCAGAGAGCCCCCTCTCCTCTCACACTCCAGCAAGCGACACCTGTGCTTCTGCAAACTGGAGAAGGCTTGGCTGCAGGAAGCAACACGTGCAGGAATAGCCATTCTGTTAACAGAATGCGTGCTGTCTGCCAGGTGTTCTAGTGGGAACTTCGGAAGGAAACTTAGCCTAAAAATCATCTGGAAGTCTTGTTAAACATGCAGATTCCTGGGCCCACTTCCAAGGCTGTTGATGGGTTTTTCACTCCCAAGGAATGCCTTTTTGAGAACCATCTGAAGGTTTAGGTATAGCAGGTGCTGTGGCTGAGGGTGGTTGGGGAGGCAGAGGGTGGTGTGTGTGTGGTGGGGGTTGGGGTGTATTCTTGTCTGAGTAAGTTCTCAGAAGCAGCCACAAAGCCAGCTCCTTCCAGCCTGGCCTCCTGGGGACCATGGCGTCCTGTCTTGCAAGAGGGCTACATTTTGGCAGAGACCCCTTGCCCTTCCCTGCCCAGCAGCTGCAACAGCGAGTGACCTTTTTTGCCCTGCTGTCTCGCTTATCTCAGCGCTCTGAATGTGCTGGGCCAGCCCCTGATGACTCATGTCCTAAAATCACTGAACAGGAAGCAGAGCCTGGTGTCAGCCGCAGCCTTGCAACTGTCACCTTCAGCAGCCCTCTACCTGCCCTGCCTGCATGTCTTGGACTGAGCTGGCCATTCCATGCTGGGGTCTGGGCACTGAATCTAGCTCATGTCTACATCATCCAAAACAGAGGAGAGTCTGGGCTGCAGATTTCC